GCCTTAGCCGGTTGAGCTATAGGCGCTGAGCCAGGAAAGGGCATTTGTAAATGTATTTTATTTTTGTTAGAGATTTTTCATGTAGCACAGAGGCAGAAATTCCCATAGTGCACAAATTTGAGATTGTATTTTTTAAGGTGAAAGCAATCAAAAGACATGCAGAAAGCAATCAAAGACATGCAGAAAGGTGAAAGCAATCAAAAGACATGCAGAAGGTAAACATAATGTCTTAACGATGACTTTACCATTTGTTCCTTAATAGAATTTTCAATCCCAGCTTGCACCATTAAGTCACTTAACATTCTTCTGTAAGTCCTCAATATGATTCCCCATTTCTTTGGGTATAATGTTAAGGAGAAATGCTTGTGTAGGACTGGAGTACAATGAAGCCAAACATAGCCTCAAGACTTTCTTTCCAATTATATCTCCTTGTTCTGAGAATTCACAGAATGCCATGGCAGATACACCATTTTTTTTTTTTTTAGACGGAGAAGTCTCAACTATGTTGCCTTTGGTAGAGTGCTGTGGTCACAGCTCATAGCAACCTCTAATTCTTGGGCTTAAGCAATTCTCTTGCCTCAGCCTCCCAAGTAGCTGGGACTACAGGCATTAATTTTTTTTGGGGGGGGGTTGTAGTTGTCATTGTTGGCAGGCCTTGACTGGGTTCAAACCCACCAGTTTGTGTGTATGTGGTTGGCATCCTAGCTGCTGAGCTACGGGGGCTGAGCCCAGACATACCATTTATTAATAAAATGAGGGACACAAAGCCTTAATATAAGTGCACTTTAGCTACTTTCCCTGAGTTTTTCTTAGTGTGTACAATCTTTAATATGTGAAGTCAGTTATGAAAAGTTGGCTTTCCTTGCTTGGACACAGATTTAGAGACAGGAGGTTGTCTGGCATGTTTTAGCCAAACTCTGAGCATGTAAATATAATGTAAATTAACATTTCAAAACTTTTTATAGATGAGGGAGTTTTGCTTTGTTGCCCAGGCTGGCCTTAGACTCCTGGACTCAAGTGATCCTCCTGCCTTCATCTTGTGAGAAGCTGGGACTACTGTACATTTGTGTTCCTTATACTTTATACTTGCCACACAAAGTGTCCTGTACTGCCCGTCAAGCAGAAGTGAGCTACACGAGCACAGTATTCATACATTAGGATGCCACACAAAAGTGCAAATGTAAATTTAATGGGTAATCCTACGTAAATAATCACCTACTAATAGCAGACAACAGAAAGTGGACTACCATTACAGTATTTGTTAAAGACAGAAAAGGATATTTCTGATCTTTAATGTAGTAAGAGCTTGAAAATGTTCTTGAAGTTCCCGAAACAGATTTTCTGCCTGAAAACATGAAATGAAAGGCAAGTGAATACAGTATTTACTACTAGTGTAGGACATTTTAAGTATCTGGCAATAGACCCATCCATAAATGGTCCTTTGACTTTTGACAAGGGTGTGGAAGTATTAGGCTCAAAAGGAAAGGGAAGTCTCTGCAGAGGTTAGTGCTAGAATAGCTGGAGCCGACAGGAGGCCAGCTTCCTTCACGGGTTCCAGCAACTCAAAGGATCACATACCCAACAGACAAGAACCTTGGTTTCCTCAAGAATTCTTCAGATGGGCTCGGTGCCTGTGGCTCAAGCGGCTAAGGCGCCAGCCACATACATCTAAGGTGGCAGGTTCGAATCCCCAGCCCAGGCCCGCCAAACAACAATGATGACTGCAACCCAAAAATGGCCAGGCATTGTGGCGGGCGCCTGTAGTCCCAGCTACTTGGGAGGCTGAGGCAGGAGACTCGCTTGAGCCCAGGAGTTGGAGGTTGTTATGAGCTGTGATGCCATGGCACTCTACCCAGGGGGATAGCTTGAGGCTCCTTCTCAAAAAAAAAGAATTCTTCAGATGAATGGAAAACCAACCAAAGCCTATCGGAGGCAGGTGTCTCCTCTTTTACAGTTTTGGGTGTTTTATTAGCTGGTTTTGGAATTACAGAAAATGTGTACCAGGTGTACAGAAATAACCACTGTTGCTACCAAAGTGTCTCATTTCTATGCTGCTGTACAGCTCCGCGTTGAAACCTCGTGCATTCGTGTAAATTCGGTCCTCACGCCCTTGTGCTGCAGAGCACCGGAGTCTTCCTCTCAGCTAGGCCAGGCCCAGAGGAGCAGAGTCTGCAACATTGCAGTCTGCAACATCCAACCTGTTCTTGTAAAGTTCTTTTGGGCCCGGAACTCGGAACTCGAGGGAAAGATTCTGAGGGGGAGCAGGGGGTTGAGGGGCTCCCTGGGGGCAGCGTCGGGCTCCTGCACCCCCCAGACATCCTCCTATCCTGAAGACCCAGGCCGGAGGTTGTAGGAGGATGGAAGGATGGAGGACGGGCACAGGAGATAGGGAGATAGAGGCACTCACAGCCTACCACAGCGGGTCCCTGCCGGGGGCTTCAGGACCCTGCCCATCCATGTGACCCTAGGCCGAGGTGTGAGGTCCGGTCTCTAGTGGATGAGGCGCTCGGCTCGGCCCCCCGGAGCCCGGAACTAAGCCGACAGCCCTGCGCGGACGCCTCTGGTCAGAGATGCAGGCGGTCGCCAGGGGAGCTAGGTCTGCTACTGTTGGTGTAATTGTAAAGTAGAAGTGATATCAAGTGCGCAGGTCAGTGGCAGGAACCAGTGCAGTGCAGGCAGACCACTGTAGTCTCCAAAAGTTTCTTCATCACAGACTGAAGCCGTGGACCCCACCAAACATTAACCCCGCTCCCACAGCCCCGGCACCACAGCCTGCCTGTGTAGGCACAGACTGTGTCCAGGCAGGACTTCCAACCCTCCGGCAGACAACCCGGGCCGCCCACAGAGTCCCAAACACGCCACTGCCCAGCCTGTCCCTGTCCCTGACTCGGCCAGCACATGTGAGGTCTGGAAGCAAGACTCCAGGTCCTCCGCGCTTTCAGACCCCGGTGTGTTTCGCGGCCGCCTTATGGGCGACCTCCCAGGACCTGATTTTGTTCACATGTCTGTACCCTCCGGGACTTGAGGCTCTGTGGAGACCCAGCCCAAGAAGGACATGGGGAAGGTGAGGTGCTCATAGGTGAAACGCGCCATGCTTGCCTAGACGCCGCATCACCAGTAAAACGAAAACAAAACTACCTGATTCACAGCCACCAGAACTGCCAGGCGAGAAAGAAAAAGGAGGTGTGACAGGTGCAGCTGCCTCGCCTCGCCTTGGAAAGGCCAGTGGTCTTCAAAGACATCAGAAGAGTGACCGCGTGACCCAGCCGCTCCACGGCTAGGGGTGCAACCAAGGAAAAGACAGAGCAGCAGCGGTGTCATCAACAGTCCCAAGGTGGAGACAACCCAAGTGCCATAGGAAGTGGTGGATACAGAATGCATCATGTCCACACAAGGACACCCTCCAAGCACAGGAACACAGCCCTGCGCAGGGACAGCTGGACAAGTGTGTCCTTCACGTTGTGCTCCGTGAAGAAGCCAGTCCCCAAAGGACACACATTTCGGGGGGGTAAAGCCACCCCCTGTGGCTCAGTGGATAGGGTGCCGGCCCCATACACTGAGGGCGGTGGGTTCAAACTCATAGTTTTTTAAAGACTAAAATCAATCTTTCTGTCTGCTTTTTTCCTCTTTCTCTCGCTAGCTGCTCCCCCATACCCAGTTCCCTTTTCACAAGCCAATGAGGAACCCAAGGGGCCAAAAGGAAATATACACTCTTCTTTTTACATTCGCCAGCAACTTTGTCTTTTAGAATTTGATCCTTAGTCTCAAGTTCCTGAGTGTGGGAAGGAACAATGGGATGTAAACATCTGGCTTCAGGATCAGAAGCACCTGGAAAAAAGTCTGTGTTCAACCTTGCCAGAGGAAAAAAATGGAATCACCCTTCACACCCACAGCACCCTGTGAACTTGGCTGCAATTACCTTTGTCCCCTCTTAAATTCAGCAAGTGTTTGACTTTATCTGGTGTTCTTCCTTTCTTTCTTTGGGATGCCAGGCCATCTCCCACTCTTTTCTCTCTCTTTCTTTCTAAGGTAAAATAAACCTGCACTTTTATATACTAATCTTGGTCTAGAGAAATTGTTTTCTTCTCCCTTGAGGAGCACGTGCCGAGCTTTCCACCCTATTAATAGGGTCCTCCTTGCTATTCCAGATGCAAGGGGTGGGGTGGGGCACATGGATGCTCCTTCCTCCTTGCAGGGGCAGGAGCAGGGGCAGGGAAGGCAAACTTGAGTAGGGCTCTATGGAGCCCTGAAGTGCCAGAGTGTTGGTCGCCTTCAGGTGCCGCCCAGGAGTTGGTGCACACACCCCACACAGGTATGCTTTCCCCACTATAGACCTCATAGCTCTGCGCCCAGCAGGTCAGCCACTGGGCATGAGGCAGTGAGCCCAGGAGCCCAGAGCTGTAGGAGAAGGGAGGAACCCCATCCTGACCTGCAAAGGCCCTCAAACTGCACAGGCAAGTTTCTTGCTGGGAATTCCCTCTCAGGTCTGACCTCCTGCTGGTACCAAGGGACACAGCCTCATGGTGGCAGGGTGGGCAGGTCTGGGTAGATGGCAGAGGCACAGAGATCTGATGGAGACTGAAAGGTGTAAGTAGTGGTCACCAGAGATGATACTGTCAGGTTTATTGAAGGGGATGTGACCTGCCTGGGAAGTGCAGAGGTAGTATCTGTGCTGGAGCAGTTGGAGACCTCTTTTATATGGGCCGTACAGGGTGGGCAAATTCCACAGCTTGCCTGGAAGGTTGGGGGATCCTTTGGTGTGAACCTCTTGAACTTCTCAGGAGTAGGGCTAGCCAGATCCTTTGTATCTTTGTCTTTGGAGGAAAGGAGATAGAGGGGGGAGAGTTTAGGTGGGGCTGTGTTAGGCCCCCCAACAGAGATGCCCCAGCACCACCTTTCAGGGAGCAGAGTGGGGATGCTGGGCAGCTCCTAAGGAGGGAGTGAGGGCCCCTCACTGAGCTGGGGGCCGGAGAGTGGGGGTTGGGATTGGAGGTGGTGGTGAGGGTGAAGTGGGGCTCGCAGAAGCAACAAGAGAGAGCACCAGCAAAATAGAGGCTATGGTGCCACCATATGTTTCAGAGGGAGAGGCCAGCAGTGGAGCCACTGCAGTGGTGCCAGGTCCTTAATGTGGCTGGGGAACTAGATGAGGTCCAGGTGGTTACATTACATCTCAGTGGGGCTTCACGTAGGGGCTTATGAATGGACAAACTCCTGGCCCTTCTTGAATCTGCTTACTAGCATTAGCGGGGGCCCAGGAGACGGCATTTCCACCAAATGCACCAGTGGTGCTCCCAATGGGACTTGTGAAGGGGGAGGCTTAGACTCCCAGGGCAGGCTGTATATATGGTGCTGGTGCTGCAAAGCTCCAAGTGCTCTGGGAGGGGCCAATATGTGCCAGTGGGAGGTGGGCAGGTGTGCTCAGTGCACTTGGGCAGCAGAAGTTTCGCAGATAGAGGGACATCAGAATGCTGTGCAGGCAGAAGGAACTGGCCTTTGAATGCCATGGTCTTTGTAAGTTGTCATGGCTCTGGTGGGTGTGATGTTTACTATGTTAATGACGGTAGATCATTAAGGGACACTGTTACCTCAGCTGTGCACATGCCCCAAAGACCCTCCATCAGGCTTGACAACATCTCTATCTTGTGGTTTCTCTACTTCTTTCTGATTGGTCAGTCCTTGGAGACCTTCTTGGGAGAACCCTCTCTAGGGTCCTAATTAGGCTGTTCCCAAATCAACCCAAGTCAGTATGACCACATCTGTCTGTCCATGTCAGAAAGTTCCTGAGACATTAATCAGCCCCCTAAAACAACCAGCTCCCTCAAATAACCCACCTGCAAGGTCTTAATTAGCGATTAGCCCCATTCCCATAGCAGCCCAGGTCAGCCTGACTGAAGCCAGCCCAAAATACCCTGATCACATCTGCTGTCCACTCTGCTCATATCTGACTAACTGCCTATCCCACAGGATGAAGGACCCACCAAAAACCAGCCCTTTAGTCTTAGATTTTTCAGCCTCCAGAACGGTAGGAAATATAACTCTGTTTTTATAAATTACCCAGTCTTGGGCATTCTGTCATAGCAACACAGGCATTAAGAAGGGTTGGCCAGGATGTGGAGAAATCAGAACCCCTATCCACTGTGGGAATGTAAAATGGTGCAGGCACTGTGGCAACACACAGTCTGACAGTTCCTCAAAATATTAAGTTAATATTAAATAGAGATATTTAATATTAAATACAGAAATCTAAATATTAAAGATAGAATTACTATATGATCTATCAATCTCACTTCTGGGTATAATGCCCGAAATAATTGAAATCAGGGACTCGAACAAATAGTTGCACACCCATGTGCATAGATAGCAGCATTGTTCACAAAAGTGTTCTATACACACAATGTAATATTATTAAGCTGTAGGAAGTGCTGGCATTTTGCAACATGGGTGAACTTTGAAGACATTTTGGTAAATAAACCAGTTATGAAAGAAAAAATACCGTGTGATGCCACTTACATGAGGTTTCTAAAGCTACCTAATTCATAAAGAGAGAAAGTATAGGCTTGGCGCTCATAGCTCAGTGGTTAGGGCATCGGCCACATACACCGGGGCTGGCGGGTTCGAACCCAGCCTGGGCCTGCTAAACAATAATGACAACAACAAAAAAAACAGCAAAAAATAGCTGGCCATTGTGATGGGAGCCTGTAGTCCCAGCTACTTGGGAGACTGAGGCAAGAGAATCGCTTAAGCCCAAGTGTTTGAGGTGGCTGTGAGCTATGACATGGCACTCTACCAAAAGGCAACATAATTAGACTGTCTCCAAAAAAAAGAAAGAAAGAAAAGAAAAGGAAAAGAAAGAAAGAAAAAGAATTCCAGGATCTAGAAAACCCTTGGTTCTCTTTCCCTTTCTCATTGTATTTTTTTTTTTTTTTTTTTTGAGGCAGAGCCTCAAGCTGTCCCCCTGGGTAGAGTGCTGTGGCATCACAGCTCACAGCAACCTCCAACTCCTGGGCTCAAGCGAGTCTCCTGCCTCAGCCTCCCAAGTAGCTGGGACTACAGGCGCCTGCCACAATGCCTGGCTATTTTTTGGTTGCAGCCGTCATTGTTGTTTGGCGGGTCCGGGCTGGGGATTCGAACCCGCCACCCTAGGTGTAGGTGGCTGGCGCCTTAGCCAGTTGAGCTATAGGCACCGAGCCCATCTGTAGTTCTTTAGATGCTTTGAGTGTGATGTCACAGTTCTTAAAGTCAGTGAACCTTTCATTGTTTTCTCCAATTAGGTCTGTAATAGCTGCTTGTTCTTCAAGTGATTTGCATGTATCATTCTGCTCATCAATGACCTTGCTAACTGGGGAAAATGTTCAAGGAAATTTCCTTTTGAAGAAGTGTTTTGAAAAAAAATAGCTTTTTTCAAAATTCTTGGGTTTTTTTTTTGCCACATGTCATATATAGTTTTTTTTTTTTTTT